ATTTTCTTGAGAGGCCTTTGGTGTCCCTTCCGATCAAAAATTGGGGCATCACAATCACTAGCTAATATGCTTTTCTCTCGTGCATTTCTTTGTTCATGGTTCAATAATCTGGTGTCCTAGGCATAGAGGAACCATACCAATCGATCCCCAACTTGATGGTTAAACTCTATTGCGGTGATGATACTGTAGAGGAGGTCCTGCGGAAAAATAGCTCAAAAACTCCTTATCAAAATTTAGGAGGGGACTCAGTGCTATTCCATATCATTTATAACAGGTAAATTCATGATTTAAACTTAATAAATTCAAAATTATTTTAAGTTCATTAAGAGTATGAGTTTAAAACTTAATATATACCGTGGTAATTTTTTTAAAGTTTTTCACATGTATACACATATCTATAACAAAAATAATCGAGTAATTGAAAAGGCTTTGTCTAAGTTTTAATTTCACTTGTAATAATATAATTTTTCTTCCTTTTTTTCAACAAAAAAGACGGAATTGAAATTATTTCATTTACTCTTATGGTCCACCAAACATTAAATAAAAGATATCTCTATCTAGTTATCTAATTTATGATGGCAACATAAAGAGAATTGGAACTGAAAGATTATAAAAGACGCAATATATGTAAATGTACTTTTCTCTGTGCATATTTAATTTATTCTAACAAAGAAGAAACTTTTGACCTCATTCAAATTGTTAAGAATTTTGGCAATGTTTTATGACGAGGGCATTTCAGGCATTGAGATATAATCTTGCCAGTGTCACCGCATATAAATTTGGTACATATAATATGACACAAATCTTGCAACACAAAATTTAAATTTATTTTCACGCTCGTACTTATGTTAAATTAGATTAATTTATCATAGTTACTTATGAAATTAATATAAAAATATGTATTAAATTAACTATGATTTAGTGGTAAAAGTAACAAATATAATATGTTGTGTAAAGAGGATTTTGTATATTATAAGTTAAGATGATATAAATATCGAGTGTGAGTAAATTTTTTTCTAAACTGGTGTTTTGTTAGATTGCTTGTGATATAGGTTTGTTAATTAAGTAGTTGAAAGCTTTCATTTGGAATGATCTGTAACTTAAATGTCAAGTTAAGCACATTACAATTTACATATTACTTAATTTCAGGTTTGATGGGTTCCATTAAATAGGTAATTGGGTGCAACTGCTTCCTATTTTTTTGGATCAATCCTTCCTGGTGTGATTCACCAAATTTCATATTTTAAGTAAACTGAATTATTGGTAAATTATAAAGACATAAAAATGATTAATGCTCTTGTTAGACAATTTATTTGTAAAAAAATGTCCCTGGAAGCAATTATTTATCACCATAACGCGTAACCTTGTATAAAGGAGATAAACTAATGTTTATATAGTTAAGTGACCTTATAAAAGTTTTTTAAAATTATTTTGTGTCAAATTAAACTGTTGGGATAGTTGTAATATAAAGGGAAAGTTCAATATGGGAGGAGTCATATTTTAGGTCATTTTAAGGCCTAGCTCATTTAATCTATTTAATTGAATAAGTTTAATATATATATATATATATATATATATAAATGACTTGGACTTGAAGATTTATTTTATCGTAATTTAATTTGAACAAATTGTTTATTTAAAATTTAAATTTAATATTTAAATTTTAAATTAAACAAAAAAAACTGTATGTTGTCTGTTCAGAAAGGGAGCAAAAAGTTTGTCTGTTCATCTTTTAAGTAATATAAATACGAAGCATTTTTAGAAGCAGTGTGTTCAATTGCATATATGTTTTTGGCTTTGTTGTATTCTGATAGAGAACTAATTGTCATCCCTAAAAAATATACCGACAACAACTCTTGAAAGATAGTAATCTTTCATGCATCAAAACTTTAATTTCTCCGCTATTTTTTTTCTTATAACACAAACAGTATCTCATGTAAGGTAAAGGCGAAGAAAATATCTTATTAGGCGTTAAAGTATGAATAGGTCGTGTCAAATCGTCAAATAATTACCTCATACAATAAATCTTACTCAGCGTCAAACTAACACTTTATAACGTATATTATACAGTAAATTTCATTCGTTTATTCTTTGCAATAATTATGAATGCACGCTGTCTTCTTAAATACTTTTGGTTGAGAGCAATCAGCCGTGACAGTACGTACGTGACATAAATCATAATAATAAGTAATGTCATTTTTTTAAAATTATATTTATACCTAATATTTTCATTTCACTTATTACTATATATATATATATATATATATATATATATATATATATATATATATATATTAAAAGATTTCAACAAAGCTGACACATGACAATCCTTAAAGTAACATATTTTTTCCATATATCAGTAGAATTGTGATAATAAATCGACACTAGTTATGCTTGCAAATATACACGGTCAACGTCTAAAAACCGAAGAAACATTATAGAGTAGTAGCAGGTGAAGGGTTAGTTGTAAGTTGTAACAATGTAAGATGACAGACAAAAAATGATAACATAACTTTAGAATAAAGAAATATAAGAGGGGTCATGAGGAAAGTAGTATAGCCCATAAGTGGGGTGGACATAGGATGCTTCCCATATAATGTGTGTTGCCTTCATATCAATGGAAGAAGAATTACTACTTTCTTGAAAACTTTGGCTAAAGGAATTAACCATGACCCACTTTTCCACTTCCCATGTGACCCTTACATGTTCACAGGCCTTCCACATTTTTTTTGTCCTCATTTACAGTTTCACAATGCCCACATTTTACTGATCAGATCTGTTGAGAGAAAAAAAAATAGCATTCACTAAGTCACAATTCACAAACAAACAACTTGAGAGTTGTACTATTATCGGGTAGATAGGTATGTCAAGTCAGTACTAAACGGAGCGAGAGCTTTGTTGCACTATTATATGACTCTCTAATATGTCCCAATTCAACAGCTTAATGTTTTCAGACATTACAATTTACGAGTATGGACTCATAACCTCGAATTGTATAATGTAATGTTTTTTACACGCAAGAGTAAATAATGTGAAAATTTGTATTTCAATAAAGAAAAAAGATAGTACTAAATTATATGGTATCATTGTCGGTTTGCTTTTGCAACTTGGCTGCTCCGTGAAATAGTGTTTATATTATTGCATGTGACTATTAGTAAAATAATGTGTGGGGGCAGTTGCAAAATGTTTAAAGTATTTCTCTTCGTTTGTTTTATTCCATTTGCGTACACTCAACTGCTTGACATCTTCACGTATATCAGGTGGAGTGATAAATATTTCTTATTTTTAATTAAAATTTTTGGATTTGAGTTCTCGATATGAAGTTATTTTTAGTAGAGATAAAGATATTTTATCTTTAAAGTGAAATTTCCATCATACAAATCTAAATTAATTTAACCTCAAAATGGATATGAAACACTGAATCATAGTGAGAAACAAGAAAGTAAAGGGTACTTGACATCTTCATTAAGTTTGTTAGTTTTAATCACTAAATTGTATAACAAAATCCAATAATTACGTTTCCTAATTAAAAGTTAGCTAGCCATAGAAAAAGAATATCTATGTTAAGCATGAATTGGTGACTTGAAGATGTTCAACCGCTTAAAATTGATCAAGTTGAATTGAAAGTGCAACAAAATTTAACGCCATGACTCAATAAATCTTATATTTATTTACTTAAAATAGTATAAATGAACTGGACATTAGGATCAATCCTTATCATATATGAACATCATAGTAAATTCCTATTTTTTGGTAAATTACATGATGTGACATATTTTTCTTGAATTGTTGAATTATATGCCAGTGGCAATGGGGCAGAGATGGGGCTGGTTTGGAGGAATCTTTATGATGGTCCAAGCACTAACCTCTCGTCTGATCATAGATTTGAAGTTAAAATTAATAATTTGAAAATTTGATCGAATTTCAAGGTCAAATAAATATTTGAAGATAAATTTTTGAAATAGATAGTCAAACACTAGTTAAATACTATGAGAAAAACAAATAAGTACATACATGAAGAAAAAAAAAATTAGACGAAGATTTAACATAACATGATTAGATGCAAGCAGGCAGAAGAAATCTTTTTCTTTTTTAAAAGTTGTTTTTTCATAAAACTTTAATATAATTAATTGAACCGACAGTGCAGATTGTAAGTGAACAAAAATCATATAAAACAGAGTGAGATGAGATCTAACAAGACAGCCCACCCCCTTAAGCCTAGCCCACTCTTATTATCCTCCTTATAATGCATCAATCATGATTATCGTGAATAATTATCTTAGAAAAACAAAAAAGCTATAGAGTGCCGTAGTGAACTATCTTCATTTTTTTTTGTGGGAATTTATTGCTTTCAGTTGGAAAAGGTGGATGAGGATTATGTGGAGGCAAAATAAATAATATTAGTATATATTTTCAAAGGGATTTAAAGGACATATAAAATGTTGTTATCAACATCATCATAAATATGATCAAATAATACAACGTCAAACAAAAGGGGCAAGAGACAGACAAAGATGACAAGTAATTTGACCTTAAAACGTTTTGGATAAGAGTTATTGACGTGCCTTGATTATCTTTACAAGTTTCGATTAATTCATGGATAAGTTTTCGAAAGAGAAAATTGGATAAGCAAACTGTCACCATTCGAGCAGTGAATATGAGGTTATCTTATCAACGATATTTGTGTACCACATGCAAGCGATCGATCATAATATATCACATCTACATTATGACATTGTCCAAACCAAACGCTACTCCGTTTTATCTACTTCACTTATACTAGATCGAAATGCCACAGGGCATCCAGAAAATTACACGTTGATATCAGCTCGTTAATGCCAGAAAATTGCCAACATAGCAGTGAAGGTAGTTCAAAAAATGTTATAAGGAATAGGTTCTAACTCTCGACTGGGACATTTTTGCATATTTTCAATCCCTTCGTCTCAAATCCTGCAAGTCCCTGGTCTTAGGGGCTAGGAAGAGAACAAAACACAACTGCCAAAAAGGAAGAAAATCTTTGACCAAAATTGTAATCCCATATTTTAAAACTAAAATTGTTATGAGATATTTTACGGGGGAAATACAACAAAAAATACAAACCACAAACGATGACTCTCACCTCTTCTTAATATCACCATAAAATTAAGCTACACAAAAACCTGTGAATGGTTTAGGATTGGAACCATCTCTTAAGCTGCTTAGAGCGCTGCTGGTTACTATCAGTTTGATTAGAACTGTTGCGAGTGAATTTGGATGTATATTGTTCAATAAGCATATCTAGCTTATCTACTCCATCTCGTCCAACTGCGTCTTTCTTCTTTTTATCCTTTTTCCTGTTCTGTAAACTGATGCTTTGTTTTTGTTGGTTAGTTTTATCTTCAAATTTCCTCTTTGTTGCTCTTGCTGCAACATCTTCTTTATGTCCAACCTTGGGAGTAGCATTACCTGATTTTTCACTACCAAAGCCACCATGCCTTTTTCCTTCTTGATTATCTTTTAGTTTCTCTTTTGCACCTCCTAGCTTTCTACCTTCCTTCTTCTTGTTCTTCTCATCTCTTTCTTCTGCAGAGAAGGTGGCTCCTTTAACACCTTTGTTTTTCGGTTGATCTCCATCTTTACTACCTGAAACTAACGACACATTGCCTTCCCTCGAAGTGGCACCTCTGACACGCTTGTTATTTGCTTCATCTTCTCCTGTTGCCTTTCGTTTTCTTGACTGTTTATCGCGGGGATCCCGTTCATTTGTATTGTCATTCTTCTGCAAATCTTCTTTGTTCCTGTTAAAACCTTGCTGCTGAAATTTCTGACGAAGCTTCATTGTTTGGATATTATCAAGAGCAAACTCCACTATTGGTCGATGCTCGGGACCAAAAGTCTCTACAAATAGATAAGTACTCAGATAAACCAGAAACCTAAAATGCTAAAAGTCACTAGAAATAGGTATGCAATATCTAACAAACTAAAGGCACATACCAGGATTGTTGTTAAGAACTCTCAAAGCCACAAGCGCATGTTCATGCTCTGAGAACTCAAGAAAAGCTACTCCACGAGAATGATTCTTTGCCACTGCTTGTCCTTTTTTGACGTCCTTCAAAAACTTTATCTGCAACACAGGGAAGTATAATGAAGTTGCAAGAATAATATAGCAAATCTGCTAAGGCTAAACTTCAAAAGAAAGCACACCTGCCGGATAACAGGCTTTTGCTTAGTAGCACGAGAAGTAACTGCATCAATGCAAAGTGTCTTCAGCTGTTTTTCAGTCATTGACTTGGGAATATTGTACATAATCAGCCGTGTCCTTGACACATGGAAATTTGGGGACTTCAGCTTGATAATCTTCTTTTCTTGCAGCCTACGCAATGAACAACGTTAGCATTGCAAGCTATGCAGGAACTTACATAACATTTTAAAACTGCAATAGAACAGCTCCAGAACTTTCTAAAGCATTCTGCATCTAATACAACAACTACCACTACACCTCAGTCCCAAACAAGTAGTGGTTAACAATATGAATCCTCATTGACCATGTTACTCCATTTAAACTCATGTCAAGCCAATAAAAGCATTCTGCATCAAATGAGTTCTTTTATTTGCTAAAGTGTTGATTAGCAAAAAAACTCATTTGATGTATTAAATGGCAAAAACAACTCATTTGATTAGCAAAAAGTGTTGCAAGGCCCATCAAAAGAAGTAAGAAGGTAAAGTAACTATATCTTCCCTAATTTATTTGCTAATCAATTCATTTTCACAACATAAAGTGAAAGGAATGGAATAGATAGTTCGAGGTTAATCGCACCAGCAGATCAAAATATAAATAAAGAGGAGATCACTTGGTAACCGTTGAATGCAGACACCCTGCTAGAATTATTAAAAAAGAAGTAACCACCAAATGAAATGTGGCCTGCGGAGACAAACTGAATATCTTCAAAATAAGCAACATCACCTTTCATTGTCTTAATGAGGAGCTCCAATTCTTTAACATATAATTTTATTTTATTTTTTAATGAAGATTTTTTAACATATTATTATTATTATTATCACAAGTTCATCTATCTACCCCTATCATATATTACCTTTACGCTCTGGACAAATAGACTTCTTTTAAAGGATCACTCTTGATCTATGAATCATTGTCCCATATCATGTTAAAGAAGCTTTTGTCAAAAAGGAGTTACAGTCTAGAAAGAAAGGGCCGCAGTTTCTAGTCTCCAAAAAACTATAGTTCAACTCAGCTGATATGAGGTCAATTGTTAGGATATGCATATCAAAACCATGTTAACCTTTCAAGATTCACCATTTTGAATATAAGAAAACTTTTGTGAGACTTACCCCTTGCGCTTTGACATATCACTCACTGAAACACCTTCAGCAGCTGGGGTACCCTCCAAAATAAGACCCTCCTGTTACAGAACAGAATAAGATTACATCACATTACCTAGAAATATCTTGTAAGAAGTTAAATGCCGAGACGGCATTAGCAATAGAAGCCAACCTTTGCCAGGTAAAGGTTGCGATGGTCATTATCCTCCTTTTTGGTCTTCTGCAACTCCTTATCATTAGCAGCTTTCTTGTCCAAGGCCTTTAAAATCTTCAATTGCCGACCCTTCAGAAAGACACCTAAACCATCCACAACACTGGCAGCGGAAATAGCAGCTTCAGCAGATGCTGCTGTTTTAAATTTGAGAAATCCAGTACCCCTTGGTCGTCTGCAACATGTAGAATAAGTTCAATGGAGTTATTAAACAGCAAAGAGTAAACACGTAGTAGAGCTCATACTTGGTGACTTGTTCAAGAACTGGAGCAAAGTACTCCACTTCACCAAAAGCTGAAAACCGTTGTTTGACTTCTCCATAATCAACATCAAAAGGAAGGTTGCTAATGAAAACTGTCCCCTGCAGATCATCTGCTCCCTCACTCTGCATAGCTTTAATCTCTTTGTCCTTACCCAAAACGTCATCTAGTGCTTTATTCGGAGTAGATGCATCCAGGGGGAGAATAGTTTCAACTTCCTTACCCTTCTTTTGGGGGCTTGAAATATCATTAGCGGAAGTAACTGTCCCTATTGAAGTTGGAGAAATAAAGTTCTGAAGAATTTTTTTCGCAATGTCTGCTTCCTCATCAAAGTTAACTTCGGTCTGATTATCTTCATCTAAAAGGTCAGAGTCATCTTCGTCCCCCTCAGCTTGCTGAGATTTTCCATCAATATCAATGTCTTCATCCTCCGTATCACTACCACTATCATCTTTTGCGCTCTGTTCTGCAGAAGCAATAGTGTAGATTGCATTATTCCAGAACTCATGAAACAACACATTTAAGAGCATAAACAAAGTAACTGGCATAGCATTAAAACATCATCACCAACCATCATTATAAAAAATAAAAAAAAAGGAAGAACTAGCTGCAGAACAGTTTAGATGAATACGAAGTGACAACCATCAAGAATTCAACATTCTCAAGATCAGTCCTAACAAATGTTTAAAAAAGAAAATAGCGAGAGGACTGTCCTTAATTGTACCCTTGAACATTAGGAAGAAGAAATGACACAGCACCTATACAATGGTGTTGTAGTTGGCAATTTCAAGGTCGACTTAAGGAGGTTGGCTAATATGTTGATGGGCTGCTAAAAAGATACTTCTGAGTTACGATAGAAGGAAAAAGAGAAACATTTTGAAGGGAAAAAAGGAATAGGAAGACCCTTGCCAGCGAAAGCAAGGGGTTTGCCTTCTGGTCGAGCTCGTCGCACCGGGCTTGCCTAGTGCGGGTTACCTCTCCTATGTGGTTTGCGAGCTATTGCATAGGAGCGGGGGTTTTACCCTGTAAGTAAATTTACATTCATTCAACTTCAGTCCTCAATAAACTTAGATTGTTTCCTATATAGAAAGGAGAAATTTTGGAACTGGAACTTCTCAAGTCACCAAGCAAAGCAAGACCTGCACAAATAGATCTTATATTCAACAAATTAGAACTGAACTCAATTTGAGACATGAAGATTTTAATGAGGCATATGAAATGAAATTAGCATTCCAAACACATTTGACTAATAAAGCCAAAGCATCTAAGATACGTTAAGAAGTGATCATCCATCTTTGTAGCAGGAGCAGAAGTATTTTAATTATAAATTATAGCCCGAAGCATGCAACAACTACTAAGGCATAATTAGAGCATTTTAGTTTCAGCTTAATCTAGACAGGGTCTGAGTCCATTGCACTTGTATGCAAAATTGCCTTTTTTCCCCTCATCTTGTGCAAACTCTAGTACACATACCACTTGAAACAGACCTTGACTTGGAGCAAGGAGAAGAAGATGAAAAACTATGGCTCGAGGGATTTTCTAAAAGTTAAAAAGCACCACATACAGATCATCCGCGATAATTTTCCCACTCAGGTCTGCTCAAATTATTATCAAATTGGTGATTTTTCAAGTACACTCACTAAAAATAATAAGACAAATAAAGCCAAAGAATTTTAAACAATTAATGTGAACCGCCTAATCTAAATCCTGACTTGGTTCAATGATGTATTAACTTCAGAGTTTGATAATGTAGATAATTTTATCAAAATCTGGGCACAAATAGGTCTGAATATATGAAGTACGCTAAGAAGTGGATGCCACATTAGTACTTCATTTCCATGACTAAGATAAATTTGCTCGATATGATTAGATTAAGCAAATGACAACATATCTAGCAAAATATAACAGGATATTCTCAGACAAAAAGAAAGAGGCTTACCATCTATTGCAGTTGCTGAAGATTGACCACCAGATGCATAAACCTTTTTGGAAACGGCCCAATCAACAGCAATAGTTCGTTTATTCATTGTTTTCCCATTAAATGTCTTAATAGCCTAAAAAGAGATAGAAAAAACAAAAATAAGGGTTAGACTAGATAAGAATCCAAAGGTACAACCCAGAAAAACTTCAGTGGTGTAAGCTCATCCCATACATTGTAAGCATAAATTGGAAGCACATTGTGATTTTTACCATTTACATATATTCCTTATAAAAGAGAAATTCTGATCATACTTATTCGAAGATGTAAACTGCAGAAAAAAGTATGATTTTTCACTATAACAAGGACAATGTTCACTAAGCCTTAGGGCATGTAATGGTTATGTTTGAGATCATGTACTAATTTGTGCTACAAAAAATTATGTGATATCACAAAAGCACCATATGCATAAAGAGTAAACAAGGAGAGCAGCTAAATTTAGTTGTGGTATTACACCAAATCTTACAGTGAGAGGTCAATGTCAATTGAACTCTCTCCTGTCTCCTTCCTCTTTACACTGATGTCATGGGCAGTTAATTGACAATTCTACCTGACCCTTGTTTTCCAACGGGTTCGAAGTCGTCCATTTCATGGGACCCGGTCCCCTATAAAGAACTTGCCAGAAGACCAAGATTACCTAATACATAAATCACTTTGGTCTGTGGAATTGAAAAGAGTTCACAAATTGCTAACTAAACCTAACTGCAATCAGCCAAAGGTAGGCTTCTTTAGACCATACCTTTTTTGATAAACAAGAAATCTCCAAAAAGGCTATCTGTTGCACTGTCTGAAACCATGTGCATCGCCCCACCCCCCAACTCACCCACCCACCCCTACCTTACCTCCATCAGGTTCAAAGTCTTATCTCATAAATTCCCAATGGTCCACTATAGAGAACTTGCCAGAAGACCACAACAACAACTTACCCAGTGAAATCCCACTATGTGGGGTCTTGGGAGGGTAGACCTTACCACTACCTCGTGAAGGTAGAGAGGCTGTTTCCGAAAGACCCTCGGCTCAAGTGCATCAAACCCAAGTAAGACTTGCCAGAAGACCAAGATTACATAATACATAGATCACTTTGGTATGTGGAATTGCAAAGAGTTCACAAATTGCTATCTTTACAGTTCACTTTCTCTCGGACTTTAACAGCTTCTCAATTTCAAAGTAGAACAAAGCCTTTGAATCAACCAATTTAAAGCCTTAATTAATAAAGTTACTTGATATAAATGTGAGTTCATACATTCTCTGCATCCTGCTTCGTTGTAAATTTGACAAATGCAAATCCCTTTGATAACCTGCAAAAATGCTAACTAATGGTTACTAGTGGTAATTAACAATAACAAATTTAAAATTGTGCCGGGAAGTCCCTTACCCTGTCTCAAAATTCTTAGGGATAAACACGTCCCACACGAAGCCAACTTTTGAAAACATATCTTTTATCTCATTCACTTTGGCCTATGTTTGATTGTCAAGCTCAAGGGTCAGAGCTCTGTGAGCACACATGAATACAATGGAAAACGGTACACTAAATCTGGATTAGCTTATGAAATAGAACTGATAAAGTGAAGAGCAGAAGGAAAGACCTTAAAAGGAAGATTCCTCAATATAAGCTTCCACCTTTGAGTCTTTGAGCCCTGGTAAGAAATGTATTAGTAAGAAAGTGCAAGTCGATCAGCTGAATATAACACCTTACAAAATTAGGCAGCTTGAAAAAAGTGTCCAATAAAATGAAACAAGACCTCTTCCAAACAAGAATGTCGCACAAGCCATTTATACAAGTTAAAGATGTGGGCAGAGGCGTACAGCCGTACGCATTATCTTTCTCAAGAGATGTCAGCGTTCAAAGAAGTGAACGATGGGACAAATCACTATATCAAATCATATTAAATCGTATTTCAAGGTCGAAAAGGATACTCTAGAAGATATGCTCATTTTATTGCAACATGGCATTCAAATGATATTTCTGAATTGTTAATTTTTCCACCTGATCAGATTTTAGGGAAATCAGTCAACTCCTTTACTTTGTCAATATAGATTCAACTCATTGGCCGTTTCTTTCAAGTTTGCTGAACTTTGAGCTGCTGAATTTAGTTTAGAAAGCTTGGAAGATATTTTAGAAAATATATCCTCATTGAAACTGAAGTCGAGCTACAAACTAAAATATCAATTGGAGACTTTAAATCTGCCCTAGGGGTGTGTTATCGGTACAATACCAGGGGGGGTCTTCTTCAGCCCTCAGGCATTTCTACAAAGGACTTGAATTTCAATACTGACCCAAGCATCTCATACCACCACTATTTTAGTCACTGATTATTATAATTTAGGACATATCCAACTATTGCAAAACTGCTTAAACCTTCTCCTGGAAAGCCAGATCACATGACAAAAAGCTAATAAAACAGAAGCATCCAATTATCTAAAAAAAATGACAGCAACCTAACCTCTCCACCAAGTTGGCGTGCCCAAAGCGTTGCTCCATGTACTTCTTTTTGGTGTAATGATGCAACACAAGCTTGAGCTGATTTGACACTAGTGAAAAGTACAGATGAAGCATCCATTTTACAACCATCGTGTGCTAGCCCTAGAATATTCATGATTTGTAAAATATATTAGCCATTGATTCAAATAACATGTATCTTATAACTTCCCTTGGAATTCATGATCAAACTTGTTTCTTCTAAGGGAAAAAAGTAATCACTTCAAAGCCAAAATTTCTCAACAGCTTTTTGCAGATTTAATCCACTAAGATCACTAATCAAATTAAGTAGTACTAACTTAAAAATTGTAGATTTGGGTCACTTTTGCCAAGCACATTGTTTTTTTAAGAAAAGATTAATGTTAACGAAAGTCACAATGGGATTAATCTGGGCAAAAATGGATGCCCAAAACAAATGAAAAGGGGAAGCATATTTAATTGTTTTTACCATGATTTTCAATCTCTTCTTTTGGAAGAGGATAAGTAACAGAACATACAGTGCCACACTCCGCCGCAAGCTGGTGAGCCTCTTTTGCCATATTTGCATTTACAATTCCTCCTACTATAACTGTCCTGGCGACCCTGTTCAACATGAGGAAGACATAAGAAAGTTAAAAAAAAAAAAAAAGGAGGATTTATACCAGTCAAATACAGGAAAGGAAAAACAACACAATCACAAATTCAACATGCAAAATGCATAACTTCAATTGCCAAACAGTGATGTTGCATGGCTGTGACTCTTTTGATAAATAATATTAGTTGATGTGGGGGAAAAACTCCCTTCGAGTGGTACAAAAGGTATAGCCATATAGCACCAAGACAAGAATATGGTTCTTTAAAAAAAGACACTCGAACCATTTAAACAGGAACTTCATGGGTGCATTATAAAAGGTATCTCTGAGCTATACAAGATCCTTTATCACCCCCCTCAAAAGTATTACATGCCTGAATTTTTAATTAAACAATTTAAGCTCACGGAAAATTTTCTCTTGAAAGCCAAAAATCACTTTTAGACAAATTCTACATGAATATGCAGCTACAGACTTTGCCTCTCAAAAAACTGTGTGAGCACACATAAAATTTTATATTTGGTAAAATGAGGGAGATTAAAAAGGTCACAAGTGATTGTTAATTTAGACGAAGGTCATAATACCTTAGCACCTAAGTAGTGCCTAGAAAGACACCAACATCATGTCTGACACAAGAACTCCAAAATTAGGCAAGCAAGACAAGAAATTAGAGCACTAATCCACCAAAAATGAAAAGAATCTAGAGCAACAATGGATAATATAGCACAACAATTATCACCCTACAGCAATTTACAGAAGATTAATTCACCAGTCCCTTGAGTTTTAGTACTTCATATTTGGTCAATAAATAATAGTGCTAACATAAACTCTAGAATACAACTTATTTTGGACTGAGAAATCGTTGTTGTCGTTGTCGCAATACCAAAATTATTATCAACAGAAATTGACATAGTGCAAATCGATATTTATAAGTAGGTTCAGCAGAATATTTTCATAATCAAGAGAAATAGCGAAATTTAACAAATGGAAGTGCGGAATATCAAATACACAACAAATTACCTCTGCTTTCCTGAATAATTTCCTTCATCAGCTGCACCATTGGAAAGCAATGTAGCCTTTTTTTTCCTAGTGGGTTTCCCTGAGTTCTCTGACAACAATAACTTACATTGTCAGGGGATGTGTTGATAAAGTGAAATCCCACGACGTGATTGGATTTTGTATTACTGATTAATCTAAATCACCAATGAACATTAAATACAGAAATCATTAACTCATATGATACTTATCATGGAATCTAAAAGTAAATCATCTCTTCTTTTTTAGAGAAATAAAAGTAAAATAGTTTTCACTCAATGAATAAATACAAAACGCATGCAAAGTATTTTCTTTTAGATTAGAAGTCTTATATATTATCTATTCTATATTTTTTTTATCAAGTAAAAATTATTATTAATGATGAATGGGCCAAAATCGGCCGCATACAAGAGGTACACCGAAAGGAGTAGAAAACCTATAAACATTGCCAAAATCGACCGCATACAAGAGGTATACCGAAAGAAGTAGAAACCTATAAACGTTTATTCAAACATAAATATTGGTTCAAGAATCTTAAAATACTTATTGAAGTGTATATTTCTATAAATGTCAAAAAAGAATTGTATTAACTGATATCTAAAATATGATGTCTCTTATATTTGAGTTCATACATTATTGAGGCATGTTATATGGCAAGTCATGACTCATTAACAGCCATTATCAAATTAGTGAAAAGCTAAGTTGGTTGGAAAGGTATGTATAAAAGACGTGCATTGAATGTATTAAGAGATCCTTTGGTTCTGTCATCAAACACGTTTAATATCTAACAGCTTGAGGCATTCAGTTTTAGTGCATCATTGGGTTCTCAGGCAGCAACTAGGTACTAAAGAGCTACATTTATATTGAAAATAACACCCATATGCTATAGCTCAGAACCTGTTCCCGGTGGGTTTGAAGCTTGTTTGTGCTTAGCTGCTTCAGTAGAAGAACCATCTTTTCCGTCTTTTGCTTGTGCAGTACTTCGTGGGTTTGAAGCTTGTTTGTGCTTAGCTGGTTCAGTAGAAGGACCATCTTCGCCGTCTTTTGCTTGTGCAGTACTTTCTAAATAATATAATTGATAGAAAAGTCAAAGAAATTGGAGTATTCTCTGTTGGTGTAATTGTCTTTATTGAAATGTGGCCCAATTTTCCATTTGAAACTAAAGTACCTGATCCCTCCAGGTTTGAAGCTTGTTTGTCCTCAACTGATTCAGCAGAAGGACCATCCTTGCCGTCTTTTGCTTTTGCAGTGCTTTCTAAATAATATAATTGATAGAAAAGTCAGACTAGCAACATTGGGGTATTTTTTGTTAGTGCAGTTGTCCTTATTGAACATGGCACAATTTTCCATTTGAAAACTAAAGTAGCACAAACCTTGATCCCCCTTAGATTGCCGTTGTTCACGAGGCGCACGCTGCATAGCCTGTTTAACGCCAATTTTCCTTCCTCCAACCACTGATCCATTCTTTAGCTCGATGGAACGGTTAGCATCGTCTACAGATGCACTATGACAACATGTATGAGGAAGCATAAGTTGCAGAATATATGAGCCACATACACAAGATGGGAAAAAAGTACCACTGAACATAATTCTCTTATGTAACTTTATCAACTAAGAAGCAATGCTTCAATCTATAACTTAATTATAATCATGTAAAGTTGGAACCTCACGTTCAAAAATAATAGAAAATAAATTTCGGAAAAAGTTCAAGAACAAGAATGCTGAATAGTTAAGAATAAAGTAATATATTCTATGCAGATAATGAGCAAAGGACAAGAACCCTGTAATTCTTCGCATTCCATTGCCAAACTACACCATTAATGTCAAGAAAGAGATCAATAATTTTGAGAAGGCCAAGACACTCCAACAGAAAAGAAAAAAAAAAGTAGTACTTACAATTGGACAAAGCCAAAACCTCGGTGCTCGCTTGAACCTATGCACATAGAAGTAAAGAAAATTGGACAAGAAACGTCATCAAGATATCAGAAACTTGAGATGGAGACTTAATTAGTTTCAAGAAAGACTGATACCTAGTAATAGGCAACTGAAAAACAAAGCCACTTCTTGAATTACAAAATTTTCAATAGAAATTACCTTTATTGGTAACCATAAAACACCGCCTAATTGGTCCAACTTCACTGAAAGTTTCCTCCAACTGCAGATGATTAGTAGCTTGGTAAGTACGCAATGTTTAGAATCTTTAAATTAGGAAAGAAGAAGAAATTACCTGAGCATTAGTGAAAGAATAAGGTAAATTGTTAACAAAAATAGTCGAAGGTGAGTGTTGGCTATCGCCACCAGACATCGTCTTCTTGTTCTTTCCCATCTATACGATTGTCAAGAACCTGGACAAGAAGCAATGGCGTTTCTGCGCTAAACAAGATTTTTAGGGGTTTATGGAAGAGGGGTTTTTCGATTTCGGGTCAGGAGGGCAATTGGGTCTGAAGTGAATTGGGCTTGACCTAGAATTTACTTATTTATAGTTGTGGGCCAATATAAACCCAACGCGCTCAATAAAAAGTGGGCCGACATTACGGTTGCAACTTGAAAACACAAAGTACAAATATTGAATACCTAATCCTTAAAATTCTTCAGTCAAAAATTCTCATGAATTAATTTGGGCTAAATATCAATCCAGGTTTAAAATGGACTGAACTAAGCGGATTAAACTGAATCCAATTAATAAAATAAGCAGATTATTAACCTGTCAAAACATAAACAGATTGAACAAATTATGATTTTATGAGCTGACTAGGAAACAAAATTTATCCATATCATTACTCACATCACCCAATGGGCCAATGGGGAGGAATTGATACTTGTGTGAGGGATAAAAATAAATAGTGATGGGATAATTTTTTGTATATTGTTTGGTTGACATGTTTGAGATAACGTATCTCACCATTTATATCATTGTAATGGGATAAGTTATCACATATACATGTTGGGATCCCAGGATAGCTAATCCCATGATAACTAATCCTGGGATAACTTGCTCCCAATCAAACGACCCCTAAAATTTTGCACAAATATTGGTTTTAAGTAATACTTTTATTTATAAGACAATTAAAATGTTTAGTTTTGAAAATACGAAATTTATTTATATCTAAATAATTAAAAATAATTATTAGTAAAGAACAAAAAAAATTACAAACAAAATATCCCTATGATTCAATTTTGTGAAATCTAAGAAAGAGAATAAACATTCGTGTTGAAAATTTTAATTCACATAATTGTCTTTAAATGAGAACAAACATTGTAGTGTTATATGTATCTTTTATTCTTTTTGAGCTCCTCAATAAGAGATGATCATACATTACTTAATTAAATATATCAACTACTAGCCAGTGTATAAAAGGTTTAAGTGTTTGATTTTGGAAATAAGAATAATTAATACTTTAATATTTGCATAAGATTTCAACAATATAAAGGTGCAACAGAGATAAGGTTTTTCTTCCTTCGATTACATGTCTCCGGTTGAAGCCATGTCTATGAAAAAACCTTGTTGGTGAATGCTTCTCCTTAATGGGCCTCTGTGTGAAGTGAATTTGGAATAGTCGGATTTCAATGCAGGAACTAGACATCAAATGAAAAAATATATATGCATAAAAAATAGAAAAAATGGCACAACATGACATCCCATTTTACTAATTGGCAGCATATAGCCTTCTTTTATTTTTTGACAAAAAAAAAAATTGAAAATTAAATTTTGCAATTAGTAGCCCACGTATTGGGAAGTTCATTTTTAATTAAATTAAATAATTTTAGAAGGTGGGCAGCATGGTGTCCTTTTTTATTGGGAAGTGGTTTTTTTCTTCCTATTTTTTATCTTTTGTTCCATACACACATGATTCTTTTGAATTGTGTTTTTTTTATTAATTCTTTCTTCTTCTTCTTCATTACTTTGAATAAAAGATGATTTACTTTTTGTTTATTAGTTTTACATATTTGAGTTCTATAAAAATATTCGTTCATAGTGTCTATTTTTTCTCTTCCGCTTTTAAATTTTTTATGGTTTGTTAATGTCTACTCGTCAATTTCTCTAACTGTTAGCCTATGTTTGATCCCCCTCTTGTATTGTCGTTCAGTTTTTTGGGAGTTTTAATTTTTGAAATTTAAGGTATATCTAATTTAGGCAAAAACTTACATAACAATAATTGATTGTAGGTATCAATTGTCATGTTTAAGAAAGTTATCCCTAGGATTATTCATAAAAAAAAGGATTATCATTCTAATTTTGTGGATTCTCCATCCACAACTCTAAATTTTAGCCATGTAAGTTCTTCTCGTTATCCGATTCAACTTGTGTCTTTGCTATTGAGCATTTTAAATTTAATCTGCAATCCTCATTTACACACTGAATAAAGAATCTGAAATGTATACAAATTTTGAGGGAATGAATACACGAATATGTATACATGAATGCAATGCATACATGAAGTGTTTGATTTTTTAATATGTATGCACTGTTTTTTTAATATGTATACACTGGAAGGGATAACATAGCTATAATTGTATACTAACATACTAAGTGAATGAATACACCATTCTTTTACCTATATACAATCATCAAGTATACAATTGGAATTTTTTTTTATCAAGTAACGAATAAAAAAACATATGAAAATACATAATTTACGTTTTTAGGTGGTTACGTATTGTATATATAATTTTTGATGTTTCCGTTATTTTTGTTGTTTAGTGATGATTGGTTATATGAGGAAAACAAAAAAAAACTACTTATTAAAATGTCATTATTAATTTGGGCCATTTTGTGCTTATTTTTTATTTGTCTATTAAATGCTAATTATTGTTGGGCTATTTATTGCTAATTATAACTATCAGTTGTATATATGTGTCATTTCCTCTAAAAAATAATTTTGTTAAAATATAAAATAGTAATATAATTTTCGTCAAAGAGGATTCAAATAAGCCCATTGACTCTAAGGGGTCGTTTGTACAATGATTAATAATGCAGGAATTAGGGACGCAGAGATTAGTAATGCAGGGAGTAGTAGTGCATGAATTATTAATGCAAATTTTATTTTATTTTATCAAATGTTTGGTTCATTATTTTCCACCTCATTTTGTGTTTGGATTAAAACTCTATAAAAAAAAAACCTCTTTTCAATATACCCTCAAATTATTATCAATTTTTCTATTTCATGTAATTGGGTCAAGATAGATAATTGCCGGACAATATTATTTTTTACGGCCTTCTAACTAGCTAATAGAAGAAAATTTTGTTCTCATGTTTGCTATTTTCTGACTTGAATATTATTTCTGGGTAAATAATTGTCATCTTAATAAATTGATCAATCGCAAAACGTCAATTTTCAATTTAAAAAAGATAGACCATCTACTTTTAAAACCGAAAAGACGGTAAACAATAGTAAAATCGAATAAGCCATGTACATTTACACATAAAAATTGCAAGTTGTAATTTTAATATGTATGCAATTTTAGAAATTGTTTAAAATACAAATAATTAGAAAACCACACACACACACATATATATCAACAAATAATACATTCATTAAGATCACAACGTTTTGTGGTGGTATATTTGACTTTTCAATTTTTAAATGTTAAACAACTTACATTTCAAATATTGTATTAAGATGTGTTGGATTTATTTTAGCAATAAACAACTCTCTAAATAATAAAATTTGTAAGCTAATTTATTTAAATAACTAAGTACAAATATAAACATAAAATCAAGAAAGTAAACAAAATGGTTAAAACTTAAAAGGATTTGAGGGTTATTTTTTTCTTTATATAGATTAATCTCATGATATTTATGTATCACTAATACTATCGAATAGAAGATAGTTATACATCCTATAATACCATATAGGACGTATAAGTTATAACTAATCCATAAATTAATTATACATAGACCCAAAATTCCTACCAAATATAACACTAAATAATATCATACATAATACATGAACTATTTTTTCTAATACTCCGTACCAAACGGTCCAAACTGACGCAAATTGGCCCTCAATTATACACATCAACCGAGCAGCCTGCATAGTACTTGCCTTCAACATAACACGAATTCACCTACATATATAGTAGTATTCTTGTTTTAACGGGTCCCAATATCTCACCAAGAAGTTTGAAATCGAAAATATTAATTACTTCTAATTAAATGAGACAAACTCCCCCCAGTAGGTAATCAAAAACACTATTTCCAATTGATTGCCGCCACGTGTTTAATCAATTTGGTTAAGTTATGAGTATTCATGTTAAGGTGGCCATGTTTTAAATTTTTTACATACTTATAATCCCGTTTTAGTTGAAAAACCGACAATCATATCAATAATTTAACAGAAATATTCAAGACAAAGTCATAGTGGTTTTATTTAATGTTTTTATTTGAATTTATAATAAGCTAAAATGCCGGCCTTTAGGCATATCTTAATTAAGGTGCATGAATTTATATAATGGTGTTTGGTATCAACACTCAACTAACTCTACTAAATTCATTTAATTAATTGCTTGTTTTAACCCTTTATATCAATAGATATGTATAGGTGGTGTGCTTCAATTGACAATATGCATTTGTTTTTTTCTACTACGTCATATTGTGGTAGTCTGATAGAGGAGAAATTAATCAGTGGATTTAAGTTATATATCCAATGATAATCTAAAGTTTTTTTTTTTACATTATCATAATAGCAAATTAGTGGAGCATCAATTTAACATGTTACCAAATTACTTATCATTATTAGATCCTTAACACGTACTTAGTATATAGAAGATGTTAATTGAGTTGTGTTTGGCTAACCAAAAAAATAAAAAACTTGAGTTACAACTCATATTATATACTGTCAAATTTTAAGAGTAGCTCGAACACATATTAATACATGATATTTCCATGTACAAAAAGTAACAAAAGTACAATATTATCTTAATCAAAATGATGGAGCTAGATAAAGTAGCAACCAGCAAGATGCTATAATGGGTCTCTAGATCACGTAATTAATTATCCAGTTAACTAATTTTAGTTGAAGCCGCCCTTTGCTACTTAATATTCGAGAAAAATATGTAATAAATATCTTAAAGTTCAATTAAATGTGATATTATCTAATTTTACACACCTTGGAGTTCTTGATTTATTGTCTTATTATTATGGAAGAAAAAGAGTGACAGAAAAATTACTGTAGTACTAATAATGACTCATTGATTGAAAAAGGATCTTCTTTAATCCCGTTTTGACTTGGCATGAATTTCAAAAGTTTGACAAATAGTACAAGAAAAAATTAATATGACCTCACTAGTACACAAATAATAATAAACAAATTTCACAAATAGGACTTTTATTTAATACTCTGATTAGTAACAAGGCTTCTTATAAATGAAATTGCTCCACCGTTAATTAAAAATCTCAAGTTCAAATCTCGTGAACATGAAAGTTCTTTCATATATAAAGAGTGTCGATCAACTCTTTAATAATATTTCAACTTGTTGATCCATGTTTATATATGTATTAAACTTAAAAAACTTTGGCCCCTCATGGTTAAAATTAAGGGGTCGTTTGGTACGATGGTGGGAATTGAAATATCTTATAGTGCAGATATTTTTGAGTTAAAATATGAGATTATTTTGTTGTAAGTTTGATTATGAGTATTAATTAGTTTCAGAATTATTATATTCCAAACTAATTATATGATGTAATTAGCTTATAGTTACACTTATGATATATCTCAACTTAATAACGATATGCTGAACAATCCCAAATCAAATATAAACCCTAAATTATATCTCAAGATTATTATCTACATCTCTCGTAAACATCTTAGGGAAGTTATGTATAGTGGATATTGCAACAAAACATACCTTCTATACATGCTTAAGATGAGAGGAACATAACAGAAACTTAGAAATAAAAATATACTAAAAGATAAGAAAAAGAAGCTAAGGCAGGTTTAATTTTAGGTCTACATACCAACTGGTAGTTAGAGATTGCACTCCTTAACCAAACATTAAATAATAATAATAATTGAAGAAACTAAAACTAACAAGTTAACAACAACAACAACAAAAAAGTTGAAGGATAAAAACCCCATTAAGGAAAAAAGATAGAGATTGAGGGTGTGTTTGGTATGAAGGAAAACATTTTCCGGAAAATGTTTTCCAATTTTCTCATGTTTGGTTGGGCTAAATGTTTTGGAAAATGTTTTCCAAATCAACTCATTTTCCTCAAATTTAAGGAAAATGACTTCCCTTCTAAACTTAAGGAAAACATTTTCCAAAACTCTCTTCCAACTTCAAATTACAATTATTTTTTTAAAAAAATCAATTTATTCCTCAAACCACCCCCCCCCCCCCAAAAAAAAAATAAAAAATTTAAAGCTTGTTTTTAAATTCAATTTTTTTACCCCATCCTCACCCCTACCCCACCCCCTCCCAAAAATATATTTAAAAATTATTTTTAAAAGATATTTCTAATTTCAATTTTGTATTTTTTACCCCCCACCACTACCCTCGCCCCCCCCCCCCCATCAACCCCCTATCAACCCCCAACCCCCTTCAAAAAGAAAAAAATTTAACTTTGTTTTTAAAAAATATTTCCAATTTCAAATTTTTATTTTTTCATCCCGATCCGCAATCACCCACCCCTTCTCCGGTCACCCCCACCCCCAAAAAAAAATTGAGTTTGTTTTAAAAAAATATTTACAAATTCAAATTTTCATTTTTTCACCCTACCCTCGACCCCACCCCCTCCCACAAAAAATTTAAGTTTGTTTTTAAAAAATATTTTTAATTTCAAAATTTTATTTTTTCACCCCTAGAACCCCCACCCACGCACCCATAAAAAAAAAAACTCAAGTTTGTTTTTAAAAAATATTTTCAATTTCAAAATTTTATTTTTTCACCCCCTACCCTCGACCCCCACCCACCCACCCACCCCCTACCAGCCCCCCACCCCCCTCCCCAAAAAAAATAAAAAATTTCAAGTTTGTTTTTAAAAAATATTTTCAATTTCAAAATTTCATTTTTTCACCCCTACCCTCGACCCCCACCCACCCACCCCCTACCAGCCCCCCACCCCCTCCCAAAAAAAAATAAAAAAATTCAAGTTTGTTTTTAAAAAATATTTTCAATTTCAAAATTTCATTTTTTCACCCCTACTCTCGACCCCCACCCACCCACCCCCTACCAGCCCCCCCCCACCCCCAAAATAAAAATAAAATTCAAGTTTGTTTTTAAAAAATATTTTCAATTTCAGTTTTTCACCCCTACCCTCGACCCCCATCCACCCACTCCCTACCAGCCCCTCCCCCCCCCCAAAAAAAAAAAATTTTAAGTTTGTTTTTCAAAAATATTTTCAACTTCAAAATTTCAATTTTTCACTCCTACCCTCGACCATCCCCCCCTTCACCCACCCCCCAAAAAAAATTTAAGTCTGTTTTTAAAAACTATTTTCAATTTCAAAAATTATTTTCTACTCTAGTAAAAATAAAAGATATTTCTCAAAAATATTTTTCATTCATAAATCAAACACTAAAAATCTTTTCCGAAAAATATTTTCTACTCACCAACCAAACATGAGAAAATAAGTCAAAAATCAACTTGTTTTCCTGGAAAACATTTTCCATGGAAAACATTTTCCTTCATACCAAACACACCCTGAAAGTGAAAGTTCATAATTTTTCCTAGGAAAGGTTTTTTTTTTTTTTTTCTTGATAAAGAACATTATTTGGAGCTTTCATGTAGATATAGAGAGAGAAAGAAAAGTGAATTTAGAGAGAGATGTGTACACGTGTGATATTTTGTATGGTTCTGTGAAATTCTCACGTGTGAAAATATAGATAAAATGATGGATAGAGAATATATGATAAGTTACAAGAGTACTACAGGAGTGATGATTTCTTGTACTACTACTTTGTATTAAAGATTTAATTTTTCTTTTCATTTATTTTTGGGGTCTTTGAAGTTTCTTATTTTTTGGTCATTTTGATTTGTTTTATGCCTGAGAATTAGAAAAAAATATGATAATTTGAGTATAGGGATCAGATTTTTTGTTTTCAATTTGGTCAATTGAAGCTTTTCTGTTCCCCAGAGAAGACATAAATATTGCAGGTTTTCAGGTAAAAGATTAGTATTTATACTTAAATATTTTCTCTATTTTGACTTTGTTCACAAAACAAATGGATTCTTGTCAGTGGCAAGTAAAGAAGAAAAGAAATAGTACTACATAATAGTAGTAGTAATTTAGTAATTCCCAATTTGTTGCTTTCATGTTACTGTTGTTATTTGGAAATTTTACTAGCTCTTTGATATCTGAATTTTCAATTTTATTGGTATTAGTTAGATTCACTATCTTGTAATCCTCTCCCCCCCAATTATATTTTTTTTATAAAAAAAGTGACTATTATTGGGAAATGGTTGCTGCTGAATTTTATTATTGAATGGGTTCAGATTTCAGAAAAGATTATGTTGTTACAGGGTTTATTTTTGTTTAATGGATTCTCAACTTTTTGGTATGGATAATTTGTTTTGTTGTCTGCTTAGGCTTGGAGTTTTGGAAGGTATAAGAATTGGGAAAGATGGGTGTTTCAATATGTTATTGGTTATTATTAATGTTTGAGTTGATTTTTAATTTCTCTATAGGTAGGGGTAAGGTCATCGTATATCCTACCCTTCCCAGACTCCATTTGCGTTATTATGTTGTTGTTAGTTGGGTTTGAATTTTGATTGGAAATCGCTTTAATTTTACTGAAGAGCATGTAAAAGTGAAGCATATATAAATAAACATGTGCAGCAGTTGCAACAGATTTTGATGTTTGACATTCGTCGTTGTCTTTGATCATGTTTTCGGATCATCTTCCTAGAGTTTGAAATTGGCAAATCGTGTAAAACATGGATAAGAGTTCAACCAATACAGCAAACAACAACAAGATACCCAAAATATAATTACAAGTAGAGTCTGGGGAGGGTAGAATATACGCAGAGCTTATCCCTACCAATGTGTTAACTAATTAATTTCATGTTTCTACATAGTTTAGTGACATAGTGCTCGTCATTTTCATGTCAATGAAATCTTTACCTTTCTGTTTGCAGGAGTTTGTAATTTGATAGTCAACCTTGTATTTGAAACTCGATAGTTAATCATCTCCAAGTAAAAAGGTTATTGAGAAAAGTACCACAGATGGCGACTTATTTTCCTAGTCCAAACAATCAAAGAGATGCTGATCAGACATTTCAATATTTTAGGCAATCTTTGCCTGAGTCTTATTCAGAAGCTTCAAATGCTCCAGAAAACATGATGGTATTCATGAACTATTCTTCTTCTGGGGCATATTCAGATATGTTGACGGGTACTTCCCAACAACAACACAGCTGCATCGATATCCCATCTATAGGAGCCACGTCTTCCAACACATCCCAACAAGAAATATTGTCAAATCTTGGAGGATCGCAGATGGGGATTCAGGATTTTTCTTCATGGAGAGATAGCAGAAATGAGATGCTAGCTGATAATGTCTTTCAAGTTGCACAAAATGTGCAGGGTCAAGGATTATCCCTCAGTCTTGGCTCCAATATACCATCTGGAATTGGAATTTCACATGTCCAATCTCAGAATCCTAACCAAGGTGGCGGTTTTAACATGTCCTTTGGAGATGGTGATAATTCCCAACCAAAAGAACAAAGAAATGCAGATTATTTTCCTCCGGATAATCCTGGAAGGGACTTGGATGCTATGAAAGGGTATAATTCTCCATATGGTACGTCGAGTATTGCAAGGACCATTCCCAGCTCGAAGTATTTGAAAGCAGCTCAATATTTGCTTGATGAGGTTGTTAGTGTCAGAAAGGCCATCAAGGAGCAAAATTCTAAGAAAGAGTTGACAAAGGATTCCAGAGAGTCTGATGTGGACTCAAAAAATATATCATCAGATACTCCTGCAAATGGGGGTTCAAATTCTCATGAGTCCAAAAACAACCAAAGTGAACTTTCACCTACCGAGAAGCAAGAAGTGCAGAACAAACTGACCAAACTTCTGTCAATGCTGGATGAGGTATGACCCATGGAAAATATTTTTTTGTGTATCAATTTTGGTGGTTTTCGAGGTTCTAATCCTCTTCATCACAAATTTTATTTTCTTATTTCAATTGATAATTGCGTAAAAGGAGTCAAAGTAGTGGCTGCAGTAGGTTAAGAACTTCTTCGACGGTCCACTTTCATCTTTCCGTTGACTAACTTGTCTGAGAGGACCTTTAACTGTGATGAAATAGATATACTATTATCTGACACAGGAAATTACCATGAATAAAGCATATTATCTGATGGAACTTCAACGAGTAACTTCGACTTCCATACAGCATTTAGAAAGCTGTTCTTACATATATTTTCATGAATTTGATAATACAATAACTTAGTTTTCTTCATAGGGATACTAATAGAGTGTTAACTGTTATAACTTATAACAGTATCATTACTATATTTCCAATGGGTGGCTTCTCTAAAATGGCAAAGTTAATGATTATAAGGCATGACTAACTGCAGTATAATATAAGATGTACTCTTGGGTCCTCAGATTTACCTGGAGATGTTGGCAATGATGGTTGAAGAAATCTGCACCAAGGAATTGTTAATTCAAAAACAGCTACAGTTATTTATTTTCCTTTCCCCCCTCCCTTTCTTTTCTTCCTGCTGCTAGAATGACACTAAAAGTGTAGTTTGGTAGCTAATCTCAGTGGCATAAATTTGTGGAAAGGCCTGCAAAATGTTCAGTTTCTTGAGCACATGATGGAAACATGGGTGATACCATGGTGTTGTATCTATCTTGGGAAAATAGTCAATTCCTAGTGTAGGATAATGGTTATTTATGTTAAGTTACAATAACATACAGTGTAATCCCACAAGCGGGGTCTGGTAAGGGTAGTGTGTACGCGCAGACCTTGCCTCTACCTTGGGAGGTAGAGAGGTTATTTGTGTTCAGTTAATGAAGGGAATTTCTAGTATATTGGCATCCTTCTTTTTACTTGTCCACTTCTGTCAGAGTTTCTAGTAATTAAGTTTATGAATGCACTGATGGTACTGAGAGTTCACAATTAGGCTGCAGTTTATACCTTTGTAGCAGGTATTATTCCTGAATGTATATTCTTCCTTCAATTGCTCTAGTACGTGTCTAGATTTGTAATTTAGGGGCAAACATCAAGAATAAAAGAGAGTTCTGAGATTTGCATATTGAAGACATGACCTTAGATAGGAAAATGTAGAGGTCGGGTAAGGATAGAAGGGTATAGGTAGCCAAGCGTTGTAGTATTAGGTAGTATAGGCGTAGTATGTTTTTCTCCTAATTTTCGCTATTACCTGTTGTTTCATTTGTTCGGTTGATCTTGCTATTTTGCTGTCAATTTTTTCTTTTTATCATGATATTGCATTTATATTTTGAGCCAAGGGTCCATCAGAAACAAACCTCTCTACCCCACAAAGGTAGGGATAAGGTCTGTGTACATCCTACTCTCCCCAGACCCCACTTGTGGGATTACACTGGTATGTTATTGTTGTTGCCATCTGTAATTTGCATAAAGTGGAAGTTGAACTATGGTGTATTGTCTCAGATTGATAGAAGGTACAGACAATACTATCATCAGATGCAAATAGTGGTTTCATCATTTGATGTGGTAGCTGGAGAAGGAGCAGCTAAACCATACACAGCTCTTGCACTCCAGACAATTTCCCGACACTTCCGTTGCTTGCGTGATGCAATCTGCGATCAGATTCGAGCATCACGAAGAAGTCTTGGAGAGCAAGATGCTTCAGAAAACAGCAAAGCGATTGGAATATCACGCCTGCGTTTTGTGGATCAGCATATTAGACAGCAGAGAGCCCTGCAGCAGCTTGGTATGATGCAACAACATGCCTGGAGGCCTCAGAGGGGATTGCCTGAAAGCTCTGTTTCAGTTTTGCGTGCTTGGCTCTTTGAGCACTTTCTTCATCCGTAAGTTGATAATTTAGACAGCATCTAGCACACGCTATTAAGCTTTTTCTTGAATTTGTATTGTTAGGAGACTTCAGTCATCCAATTTATCCCCTTAAAAGAACTTTGGTCATCTAATTTGTAATTGTTTCTCTTTTCCAGCTACCCGAAAGATTCTGACAAAATTATGCTAGCAAGGCAAACTGGCTTAACGAGAAGTCAGGTATTAAGGTCTTTCTGACATATTTTCTTCAGCATGTGTATTTTTGTATCTGGAACATTTTCCATTAGTCTTACTTTAGTGAGTACATTTATCCTATTTTGAACCTACAGAACTCAGGCACATGGATTATTCCATACATCGGATTAACTTAAAGGATGGTCTGGAAACTGGTGCCAAATTTTTTGTTCATGCAAAGAGTGTATACACATGTTGAAACTTCACTTTTCTTACCATGAGCACCGTAAAATGCTGAGTTTGTATAAAATATTTAGATGTTCATTCGTTTCTTAAGAATGATTGGTTTTAACAGACGGGAAATTTACTGAAGATGAGTTCTAAAATTTTAAGTCAACTGAATCATGTGGCAGAGGGCTCCTTCCTGCATCAGTACAGTAACACAAAGTTCTTAAATTTGACTTTTGTGCACTGAACAAAGTCAATAGTTTCTTAAAGAAAAGTTCATTTGGTTCAAAAATAGCAGGCATTTGCCAATCACAAAAATCATATGCATTTGGTCCATTTGTGTTAATGGACATTTGGTCGTGGCTCAATATTTCATTGATGAATGGGTGTCATGTTTCAGGTATCAAATTGGTTCATAAATGCACGGGTGCGTCTTTGGAAACCCATGGTTGAGGAAATGTACAAAGAAGAGGCTGGTGATGCTAAAATAGACTCAAATTCTTCATCGGATGTTACCCCCAGACTTGCAACAAAAGACTCAAAAGTTGAAGCAAGAGGAGAATTGCACCAGAATGCAGCTTCAGAATTTGAGCAGTACAATAGTGGCCAAATCCTGGAGTCAAAATCTAACCATGAAGCTGATGTAGAAATGGAGGGAGCAAGTAATGCAGAAACTCAAAGTCAATCTGGAATGGAAAATCAAACAGGCGAACCCCTGCCTGCTATGGATAATTGCACCCTTTTTCAGGACGCATTTGTTCAAAGCAACGATAGATTCTCAGAATTTGGTAGTTTTGGAAGTGGAAATGTACTACCCAATGGAGTTTCACTTACATTGGGGCTGCAGCAAGGTGAAGGAAGCAACCTACCTATGTCCGTCGAGTCTCACGTTAGTTATGTACCATTAAGGGCAGATGACATGTATAGTACAGCACCTACTACTATGGTCCCTGAAACAGCAGAATTCAACTGCTTAGATTCTGGGAATAGGCAGCAACCATTTTGGCTCCTACCATCTGCTACATGATTTTATATATGTGTTGTAGAATTAAACTGCAAGTTTTTAGTACATTGGATGCTTAGTTTGAAGCTTACAGTAACAGTCTCATTGATCACTGTTGTAATATATCAAATTATTGGTTGGGTATTAGTTGTTAAAATCTGTAAAGTCTGTAAAAGGTGTGAAAGATGTTATAATTTTTGATAGGTGGAGTTTATTATATAGTCAATCCCAATTATTGACGCGTAACTGTTGTAGTTTAGTTGGGAATTTGTTATATACTACATTTTCTTATATCTTACCCTCAACCTAGTTCCACACAGTCTCTTCTTCTTTTTTTATCCCCAAGCAGAAGTTTGAGAGACAGGTCCATACCAAATCTTGTGTTTCCACTGTTTACCAAGAGGGTTAGGATAAGATTTCATGGTGATAGATCTCTCTCTGTTGATCAAGCTTAATAAACCACATGATTCAAACCAGTCCTTTCGAGGCGCAAAATAATAACAACGAGAGTGGGGAGCAATAGCAAAGGAACCTTGGTGAAAGGTCTACTAATTTCATTTCAGATTTCTATCTCTAGCATCTTTTAGAGAATAATGCTAAAGAGAAGGCGCAATGAAGAGATTTAAACAAAACAAGAAGTTTTAGAAATGGAAAAATATTTACAATCAGTTTGAACTTCGACATAATTTGAACAAAACTAATTGTCAGATAGTTAGCATGCAGTCTGCAACTAATAACACAACATTTCCTGTCAGATCTCTAAAGCTTTCAATGGCATAATGGATCCACCATTTGTTAGACGACCACATCTGCACTTGAGGAGCTGTTTGATACTTTTCAATCACTATCTACCTGAAAGTGAAGAAAGAAATCAGAAATAAACGTCAAAATAACATAGTAAGTTTTCATTAGGAGGAAGTAGCTCTCACTGACCTTTTGTACAGAGCCACCAAATCTTCATTAAGACGTGATGATTCCAAGAACAAATCTTCACAGTTGTTGATATCGACAGTCTCCATCTCAAAATCGGGCTGAGCATAATCCTCACTCCACTCGAACCATAACTTTGCAATAGACTCCTTTTTAAAACAAGTTGCATGATCTTCCTCCTCAGGTGACTCTGAGGCCACCAATCTGTAAGTGTATACTTTCCTCTCCTGCCCTGGTCGGAATGCACGTCCTATTGCTTGACGGGTTACTGATGGGTTGAGATGCACATCCAAAATGATAATTCGCGATGCACCAACAAGTGATATTCCTTCACCACATGCCTTAATTGAACCAAAGAAAACACGAGCATCCGGTGAAGTGTTAAATCGCTCCATTGAGGACTCCCTGACGTCCCCGTCTGTATCACCAGTGATCATAAATAATTCCTTCCCCAAACTGTAACCCTTAGTCTTAACAGTCAACCTCTCCAAGAATTTCAAAGGCAGGAGGTATTGGCTAAACACTAGCATTTTTTCACCTTTTGTTTCACACAGCTGCAGCAGATTCAGGTAGAATTTGGCCTTCACTCCTTCCCTCAATTCCAAATTCTCTAATAGAGTATCAATCTTCTCTTCATCAACTCTATCTTTAACAGAACAGTTTCTTGAAAGGCTCTTCAATTGTGGGTGCACATACAGTGCACTTCCTTCAGAGCTGATTTTGAACTTCCTTCCCAGTTTTTTCAGCTCTGCAACTTCACTTTTCTGCTTAGGATGGAGCTTTAGAAGGACAGTGTAATCCACCAATCCTGGAAGTTCTTCGAGGAAATCTCCCTTGTAATAATGAAGCACTTTTTCGGTCATTTTCCGCAGACCTAGTATAACAGCACTCTTCCTTGAGAAATTGTCATCCTTTAACAGTGTATGCTCCACCAGCTCATAAAAATCATTGTCATTACTTTTCTTCAGGAGGTTCCTTCTATTTGAGCTTGCCACTTTGCTTAGGATTGTCCTTTTAATGCTTCTGGATGTTTCCAGCTTGAGAAATTTTGGACGCACAAGGTTCAGAATGTTAAAGACCTCTTTAACATGATTTTGGTATAATGTGCCAGAAAGCACCACCTTCAGGCGTGTCTGGACCTTCTCAAGTGAAGTCAAAACATCAGTGTCTTGGTTGCGCGGAGTGTGCCCTTCATCAAGAATGAGAATTGACGGGCACTTCAGCAGAATCTCCTGACAAGCAGCTGCAGTCGCACTACCAACATTGTCACACACAATTGTTGAGAACTGCTTATAGCCTAGAAACAGAACACTTCTTTCCTGTGACCATTGCTTCAGAACTTCCAATTGTTGAGATCTATTATCCGCTTTTACTGAGTAGAAGTCATAGAGGGGAATTTCATCCACCTGCCACCTCAAGAATTCTTTCTTCCATGTACCTAAGATTCCTCTAGGTAACACAACCAAAGGCCTAGCTCTATCATTATTAGCCATGAAGCTTTGTAGGAAGCTGATTATCATGAAAGTCTTGCCAGATCCAGGGGCGTGAGCCATGATACAGCCTCCTTTATCTCTCAACAAGTTGCTAACAAGAAAATTAAATCCCTCAACTTGGTGAGATTTCATTTGTTTCCTATGTCTTGGATGAACACAAATTTCAGTCATATCAATGTCATCAGATGGAATGATGCCATCAGGGAGGAGATCAGTAGGCCCTATATCCTTTACCGACCGACCTTCGTAGTGATATGTTCTTGTACTCCTGGCAGCCTGTTAAAAAAATCAAAATTATGCCCTTGAAAAAAATTCCAGATACTTGGACTAAAAGACATCTAATTAAGTCAATGATTTGTATTAAACCTGCCCAAAATGTTACCTCAAGAGTTGTTAAGGCAGGGTCACAACAATGAGCTAATCAAAGCTTTTGATAACTTAACCACCTCCCAGAAAATTCTTGTTCAACACCCATATCACTTGTGAAAGAAGCCATACAATTTCTACTTTAGTAACAAAATCATCATTCATTTCCTTCTGATGTTGTAGTTTTCTAAAAATATAAAAAGTTCAATTTTCTAGTGAATGAAATACCAAAAAATGTGCACTCCTTGGACAATCGAAGACGACAACAAACTAGGTGACACCAAATGACAGATGTTACACAACATAATATCAGTCAAAAGCAGTTCAGATGATTTAGCAACCAAACAGTTAACACAGAATAATCATGATCAATGCACTAATTTTTTTCCATGCTTCTAAAAGGCGTAAAGAACAAGATCCAAAGCAAAAGATGATCTAGGATTGACAGCCAGACCTTCAAATACTGAAATTCTATGATGGTTTCAATACTTCTCTTAATGACTCCACATATACGACACACGTAACCAATATCATCTTTCAAGATGAAGGAATGATCACACTCGTCCTCCTCTTCAACTGTATGCTCATCTGGTGAAGGTTCAGCAGCAACATCCTATTTTACATGCAACAGAGTTCAAATATTAATATTAATATAAATATCTGATTGGCAGGAAAGAATCAATTTAGATAAACAGAAAGGTAAACGGTTGACTCTAAACATTAGAAGAAATACTCTCTTTAAATTGCAACAGCAAGTGTGTTTTGATGTGATCAAATGTACAAACAACTCCACGTGTGGTTTAAAAAATCAACTGTAGGGTGATTTGGTAAATAGATAAATGCTGATACAGCAAATGTTTCTTAAAGATGCTACCAGAAAGGCACTGCAAGCAATATATTCTAATATGATTTCAGAAGTGCATACAGATTACAGTGCTAAACATCAAGGATGCATTTGAAAGTTGGAGCAACTGGAATGTTGATAGCCTTTTCTGATGAAGTGATATGCCTATAAAAATTGCATGCTCAGGCTTAAAATCTTAGCAGGGAAAATAATGGTACATAATAAACAATGGAAACACCCAAAAGAAGCTGATAAACTAGAATTATCTGCACAAAGAATTATCAAGTCTGTCCTAAATTGCTAGAAATTATCCAGAACACACTTTAATCTCACATATATAGTGGCAAGAATCTAGCAACGAAGAGAATTTTTCATGGCTATATTGGTCAAAATTATCAAAGTTCTGATTGTGGAGCGGGATACGATATCAAGTAAATGTACCTTTGAGAATTCAAGAGCAAATGACATCTCATTCCATATGTCTGTCAAACCTTCATCAGGCTGTTCGGCACCGTCATCAATCTCGTCATCATCTTCTACACCGACATAAACACCTTTATCTTTCTCTAATTCAGCTTCGCCAGCAAGGCTTACAGCTTCTACCGAAATCTGTCTTTCACCATAATCCCTGCCCTGCATTATTCAGAAAGTTTTGCAAAGCATAAGAAATATGACTGGATAAAAATGACACAAGGACCTCAGATCAATCATAAACAACAATATATAAAGCAAGATGGTGTTGCATTCTTTTTTGATTGGCCCTCAATTAATCTGTAATATCACTATTGAGAGGAAGGAGAAGTGGGTTTGGAGGAGAAAAGAGCAGTATTGACTGAACATGTTAAAGTGTCCTAGACTCCTTCTAAAAGGGAGAAGGATCTCAAGTTAAAGAAGATTTTCCGCGTATTCTGCAGCTCTAGGAGCGAAGAAGCGAAAGGGGAAGAGTTAACAATCAATTGCTTTGTGGTGATAACCCTTTCAAGTTCAACTTCCACCCACTCTTTGCTATCTTAGGAATAATGGAGGCATTGGGTGCAGGGGGGAGAAGAGCACTAAGGATCACTTGTGTTGTGGGAATAGAAAAAATACATAAATCACCCCCTAAAATTGTGCGGAGAAGTCATCATATATTTAGGAGAAATAAAGGAAAATTTTCAGCCCGATCTTTTTACTAGATGTTATTGAAACAAGATGAGCCTAGACGCAGAAATTGGCCTTGGAATCTAATTTGGAAAACGCTAGCTCCACCTTAAGTGACTTGTTTAGAGTGGGTTGCAGCTTAGACTCTTGTATAACACAAGATCATCTACAAAGAAGACGGCTTAACGTATGTAACGGATGTGCTATGTGTGAACAGGCCGTTGAATCAGTTAGTCACACCTTCATTCACTGCAATTTGACCTGGCATGTATGGAATATGTTCTTTAATCTTTATGGAATGCAGTGGGTGATGCCTAGGAATGTGGAGCAACTGCTTTATAGCTGAAATGGACAGAAGACTGAGAAACTAAAAAGAAATTTAGACGAGTATAGAATAATATTCTGTTGTGTGTATTGTGGGCTATATG